GTGAACAACAGAAAGGAACACACAAAACCTAAATGTTGACTTGTATTGTAAACATAACAAAAACCCTCGAAATGGTGTAGCAAGGATTGTTGTCACCTTGTTTCAGTTTTCTGTGCGTACATCTCTACTTTATCTGCCCAAGACAACAGTTTAAGCCCATTTAAATCCCATTTACCTGAATAAATGTATTGACAGGTATAGCACCCTCCCTGACCCTGACATCATTATAAATGTATCATATTTGCTCTATTATCAGTCTATGCGCTTTAGTAAATTATATTGACTTTTCTATGGTCAAAATAAGTAATATTTTAATGATTTAATATACAGCCAATGCTATTTCTCGTTTATATGCTCTTCTATTGGAGATGCGCTTCTAATAGAGCAAATCTGGTATACACTTAAGCCTTGTATTAGACGAACCTGAAGTCCCTTCTAATGGTTAGATTCTGTATAATATTTAACTGTTCATTACTTTATCAGGGTACACCGGTATTCAGACAGCCATCCACCATAGCCAAATTGAACACTAATCCTGCTACACCACAGTCAGTCAACAGGTAACCATTTTTGTTCCAGAATGTTGTTTTTTTTCAGCCTAAAGTTTTTGTAAAAAAAAAAATCCTAAAATCACAAACATGACATGCAAGCCTACTGTATTGAAGTTCTTTTTTGACACCTTCAACTGTGTTTAGATAATTGGTGCATTTGCTACCGATTGTATTTGGTTTACGATATCTACCAGTAATGCATATATGAGTTTGTACTGTAGAAGAGAAAGTTTAACTGAATTACATTTTCATGTATATAGAATGATCACATTTTGAGTTTAATAAGAATAGATGCTATTACATTTGTATTAGGCCAAAAAAAACAACAACTTATGTTGCCCTCAAGTCGGAAAATTGAAAAATTTGGTCGGTCGGACAGATTTTTTTTTTTAAACTTGTGAAAACTAAGCGTATCGTAAACAGTCGAGGTATATGGAGGGGAAAAACACGCGACCTGATATTTCATATTTTTCGGCCGATCGCTGAGGGCAACAAAGCATTTTTTTGTTGTCCTTATTTCCCCATAGGCAAGCTCATATGAGAAAACTGCCACTACACCTCTCCGCCAAGAAGGTAATTGAAGAAGTACAAAAGAGACGTTGTAAAAGTCTATCAGATATGGCTATACGTGGTCGTGGCAAATCACTAGGATTCCGATCACCTGGTGCTGCTGCTGAATGCAAGGCTGTATCAGCTCCTACATCACTACTGCATAATGATTTTAGTGGGAAGGGTGAAGGATTTGATGATGAAAACGTGTGCCCTAAAGAAATAGAAGTTGACTTGGATAGCAAGACTCCAGAAAAAGTTTCAAAACCACAACCTAGTGTAAGTATTCATTGAGAATTGATGTTTCGTTTCTTTTTCAGTCATTATGGTTGGTTATTGTAGCCACGAATTTGTTTCGAACGTCTGACCAGCAATATAGTCGGCTAATTGGCTGACCATTTAACTGTGTTGCGAGCATTAACTAAAATAATTGTGTGCAGATTTTGTTCAAAGTTGGTGCAAAACTAGACATAAAGGTATACATACAAATGTCATAATCTTTTCAAATAGATGAAATATAACCAACTGGTAGCCACTTATTTCTCTCTGGCACAGCATTTTTTTTTTTAATTTAGTGCCATGACAAGCATGACATAATAGGCTTCATATTTGTGGCAATTTGTTTATTTCTCACAGCGTTTTACGAACACGTACTTGCATGCACTTTCTCTAGTAGTTGTGCATGTGGTGCATGTTTCTCTTATAGTCAAAGTAAGTCATATTTTTATGAACCAATATACCATAAAAGCAATTTTTTGGTTTATGTGAGCTTCTATTAAAGACACAATTTTAATGAGCAAATATGGGACATGTAATATGTCATTGAAAGTAGCTCAGTTAGGTCTATTGACGTATCTCTTTAATGTGTTAATGTTTTTTTCCCTAAAACAAAGATTTCCATAATGAATTTCTTCTACATAAGTCACTGGTTTCTGAGACATAATCTGAAGTGGTTTGTATTTTTCTAGTCTCTAGCAATCAGAAAGTTGCCTGAACCTAGCTGCAGAGCTATCAGCACCCCGGATAGAACAATTGCTGATATAACGTTTCGAGGAGATAGCAGCCAAATGGTGCCACTATCACCAATACCAACATCATTACCAGCAAGGTTGTATAGTACCAGCAATCCAAGGGATAAAAATGGTAAATTCACTATTTATATGATTATTGTTACAACCACCATGTAATATTAATTTGTTTTATACATTCTGTATGATCTGATCTTGCATATTGTCTGTTAAAGTTCCAGGAACTCCAAGTTTTTTACCTCCACTTCAATCTGATAACACTGGTAGGATCATCCGAAACACTGATGTCATTGCAATGTTTTCTCCAGAACACCCGTGAGTTCTTTAAATTTGAAAATTTGTAGGATATAAAAATCAGATTGGCAAAAACATGTATTGCTGTGTATTGCATTAATTTTGCAAGAGACAACGTATACACAGTGAAAATATCAGTCGATGCGAAGCCAAGGCCAATGCAACTTTTTACTTTCTAGGTGTATACTCGATATTCGTGTCATAACCTTGAACATCTTCCCAGTCTAACTGTCTGGTGTGAGAAGTGCAGGTCTTGGCAATATAGTGAAATTTGTTACAATAAATTCTTGTAATGAAGTATGTCTACCATCCTGGAAATATCAAGTCATCATTCCTTATTTGGAACTTGAATTTTTTATTTTGGTAGAATACAATTACCCAGCTCACATCATGATTCTCTATTTAGAATTTGCATCTCCTAGTATAGTAGAAAGCACATACCCAGTTCACATCATTCCTTATTTGGAATTTGCATTTCCTAATATGGTAAGATGTGGATATCTTAGCTGATACTACAGAATCATGGCACATTGTAACTTCAACATCATACCTAGTTAACGTATAATTTGTAACTGTAGTTATGTAAATTTATGATTTATTTATCTTTTTTGATAAATGGAGTTTGTCTTGTGATGGCACTTTTGGCGTCATTGTTTGCGGATACCGGGTAATACTAGCCCATGATATCACTTGTAACAGTCCTAATATCAGCTGATAAACTCATAATTTCACAAATTAAAGTTAATGTGACATGCATCTTAGTTTTACTGCTAAACTCGTGTAAAGTCGTTATTCGTACATATTGAATACAATGTATGTGTGAAATAAACATTGTCAGCTTTATAAATTGTTACTTGTTATTTCAGAATGCCCCCGCCAAGAAAATGGAATGTAACGCCGAAAGCAGATCGTCAAAAAACTAGGTCATCAACTTCAGACGAATCAGGATCTTTGGATGTTGATAAAACTTCTGGTCGTCGTTCGGCGAGGCAGTCAAATCGTTCAAAGTCGCAAGCAGATTCAACTGAGAGACGTTTAGTGCGACCAAGGAGAGGACTGATTAGTCCTGACTTTTAAGTATTGTGTACAAAAATAAACATGAATTTGATTTATTACAATAAATTTTTATTTTACATTGTTTGTCATAGCTACACTGTACAAAACAGACAAATGTATGTAATATCTAGAATTCATTTTGGACCGTCTGTGAAGCACAGAATCTTTCGGCTAGTACTGAAGTCTGTATGTGTGTGTCTGTTCCACTGGTATCTCCAAGACCCAATTATCAGATTTTAATGAAACTTAGTACATATATGCACTGGAATAAAACTTTAGTTGAAATCTGTGCATATTGATTCCCTAATTTGCATATTAATCAGCCAATTTTAAGCATTTTCACTTGTTTCTCATGTACCACTAAACAGATTTCAATAAAACTTTGTACACAGCCATAAATATTCTGAGATAATGCGTAGACCTTATTAGTTTTTGGTTGAAATCTGCATATATTAATTAGCTAATTTGAAGCATTTTTACTTGTTTCTCGTGTACTATTCAACAGATTGCAATGAAATTTGGTATATAGATGTTCTGGGATAATGTGCAACTCTGATTAGTTGTTGGTTGCAATCTGTGTGCATTAATTACCTAAATTGCATATTAATTAGGCTAATATTTAGCTTTTCTACTAATATCTCAACCACTTATCAGATTTCAATGAAACTTTGTACATAGATGCTCTAGGATAAGCAATATTAATGTTCAGTTTATGGTTAAATTTTGTGCATACTAATTACTAAGTTTGCATAAATTAACCAATTTATAGGTGCTCCACAGAGTATCACTCATCAAATTTCAAAGAAACAATGGTGTTTTTGGATAATCCACACACCTGATTACTTCAGGGTAAAATGTGTTAAAGAATATATAGTAGAATATCCACGCCTAAATCCAGCCCGTGCTTCGAAAGTAAACATTTGGCAGTGACGGAATAAGCTTTACAAGGAAATCCCTCTATAAATTTCCAGAGATTCTTTTTATGGGAGAGTATTATTATAGCTGTGTTTCAATAGCAGAGACTTTTATAAAGTTTTAAACTTTGACAAAGAAATGTCTTGCAAAAATACCAAGTACAGTACATATCTCCTTAACCTTTTGGGCATTAATAACTTTTCTGCCTAAATGTGGAACTTATGATAATTGTGTTCATAAAAGTTTTCAAATAACATCCATATATGACAATTCTGTGCACCGAGACAGACAAGACAGAGCCTGTGGAGAATGAGGATGCATTGTGTGCAGTGATACACCAAGGGGAAACATCGCAATGGTTTGACATCTAAACAAGGGTAAAACAAGCACGCAATATGTTAGGTTTTTTGTTTCTCAAAGTAGTCAATTGTATAATGAGGACTAAAAATGGCGGAACAGGAATTAGATGAAAGTTTACATCAAAGTTACCATGGATGATTTGGATTTCGCAGATGATTTGGCACTGATAGCATCCAGAAAACAACATATCCAACAAAAAACGGACAGGTTATTTACAGAAGCTAAACAAGTTGGCCTAAAAGTGAAACAGAAGACAAAATTAATGCAAGAAATGTCGAAAAAATGTACATCCATTGTGAAGTTGTCGAAGGTGTCAACAAATATGTGTACCTAGGTACAACTTTAACAAAATCAGGAGGAGGAATGGAAAACAGAATTTTAAAGGAAAGAAATGCATTCATGCAGCTCAATAAAATATGGAACAGTAACACAATCATGAGAGCAACTAAACTCAAATTGTTCAAATTATTGGTGTTCTCGGTGCTGTTATATGGGTCTGAAACTTGGAAGGTGACGAATGAAAACTAGATACAAAGTGTTTTAGGAGGGTATTGAAGGAAATATTGCAAGACCATGTTAGGAATGAAAAACTACTTGGAATGGAGAAACTGAGCGTGAAGCGTAATAAAGAGGAAATGGGAATTATTGGGCACACCTTGAGAGAGAATTCTACAAGTATATGCAGCCATGTTGGTACTAAATACCGGATTGATATCGCTCTCTGACCAGCTTGCATATTCATGTTGTTCCCCTCGAGTACATGCGCTTGGCTTTGGGGGAGACTACACGCGTTCTTTTGTGAATATAGGATAATTTTGAAAAGGCTAATTTCAAGAAAAAATTGCTGCAAAATTTAAACACTTAGTTATTTGAAAAGAAACTTAATTCATCTAAATTTTGGAATATTATAAAAAAAAATGAAAACTATGGAATTATAGTCTTTGCACAAATAAACATTGATGTTATCATACGTAAGTTATACATTATCATCATATGATGTATTATCTCAAAGATATTCAATTCAGTTGTTGATAGATTGGTAGTATATCCGGATAATTATTTTCAAAATGCACAGTTTGGGGTCCACAAAACAGTCTACAGACTGCATGTAATCACTAATCAATAGATACATCGGCAAGGCAGGCATACCTGTTAGGTTGATCTAAGGAAAGCTTTTCGACAGTGTTTTTGTTTGATGAAATAATGTACTATATAAATTACTATATCAAAACAAGTACAGAATCATTAATTCAAAATATGGTATTAAACAGAGTTGAAATCCAAGCCTTTTTACTATTTAAACGGAAAACAACATACCAAACTGTGTACGAAGAAATTGAGGGGCATAAGACCAATCCAGGTAATATATTGATGTTACCATTGATGACAATATCACCCAATAACTACCCCCCTCATGTGAATTGCAACATAATTTACCATTTCCGATTGCACGGGGATGTTATTTTATAAACTAACACCACCGTCTACAAACTATTCTCTTTGTTATTATAACCCTTGAGACAATACTAGGCGACCCACCCTCATTACGGAATCGGTAATACGTTTTTTTCAGTTATGTCATTTAGATTTGAATTTAAGTTCCACATTAAAATAACATTCATTTGACATGTTTTTGAGTGGGATGAACAATCAATGAGAATTACGCCATTTATTAACATAAATATGAATTTTGGCTATAATTTAAATTCATCAAACAAGCAGAAATGAGCTCAATGAGGATAACGTATTACTCTCAAGGTCTATTATATTAATCTATATTCATCTTACTCATCTAATGTCTCAAAGCAGGATCAGCGGGTAAGGTATGGTTGTATTTAAACTGGTCTTCCAAGGATTCACGTCTCGCTAAGGCATCACAGTATCCTTTATCAAACTGGGGCCGGTGTCCGGCAGACATGGTAGACCAGAGAGTAGGATGCTGGTGTGGGTCCGCATGTCACTAGGCATCGAGCTGCCTAAGCTTGGAAAATAACCACGAACTTAGTAAATAAAAACTAGTTGTGTAATGAATAGACCTCACTGTCATGAACATTCCCAATCTAGACTAAAGTGATTCAAGAACATCATTTGTTTTGGAGATGATACCACCAATCTTGAAATCTTTAAATGAACATAGAAGAAACGCAATATACAATCTGCCAGTACGCATGCATTTATTTATATTCTTAACACTTAATATTTCTCAGAAAAAAAAGTAATATAACTGCCATAAACAATCATAGATCACAGAACAATAAGGATACATAATACTAATAAAATTACACAATTATGAATTTACACAATTATGAATAATATATATATACACACACTAGTATTTAGACAATTTTGAAGAACGTATATGTACGAGGTGCCTTCAAAAAGTTTTGAAACTTTTTTCGTAGGGGCAGTCATAACCATTCCACACGCTCGCAATTTTGATATTTCATTACCATATGTCTAAGGAGATAATCTACCAATTTTATTTATTCCAGGTTTAAAAAGATGGCTGTATGTGGGTGGACGTTAAGCGGACCCTACCAAATCACGCTCGTCACAGCTGACTGTTTTGTAAAATGCAGTCGGAACGGGAGAACTCTTCGGAAGAGCGATAACGCTATAAAGTTGTGTGTTAAACTCGGAAAGAACGCTATGCAGACTGATTCAGACTGCTTTTGGATTAAAATGCATTGGCAAAGTATCGGTATTCTGTTGGCACAAGAAGTTATAGATGATGACTCTGGAGTGTCGATAAGAGACAATAAGTGTAGAGTTTGAAGGCAATGTGGGAACTGTGCACACGATTATTCACGATGAACTGAGCATGCAGAGCATTTGTGCGAAGTTCGTCCCAAGGATGACAGTTCCTAACCCTCCCTACAGTCCAGACCGTGTCCGCTGTGACTTTTGTTTGTTCCCGGGTTCAAGGAAAACGAGATGAAAGAGGTTGTGACAAGGGTCGCTGGAACGATACAAGTGCATTGCATCTAGAGGGAGTACTTTGAAGAGGACTAGAATTTCGTGCTTGTTCGAAAAAAAAAAGTGTCTCTACTCAAAACTTCGTACACTAATTTGTTAATATTTGTCGAAAATGCTAGTATGTTATGAAAGTACATTCATTCATAATATTAAATATGTAATAAATTGTTTCTTTAATAAGGCCAGACTTTTATTATCCCTTGTTTCGCGAACCCGCCGAATGAACAGGAGCCGAAAATGAAATAAAAATATAATTTTATTTCAGTAATTTCTCGTGTAAGCGCAAAAAAATGCTAAAAAAAATATTATTTTTATCTTCATTTTTTTACCGCCCGCCGCATAACAAATTCAAGTTGCATTTTCGTGGAAGTATCATGATCAAAGTACTGAAGTCTCGCGCAGATGAGAAACAAGGTTATAAATGAAATAAAATGTTATTTCATTTCTTCTCTCCGATCAATGATCTCACTTACAATTCTTTGAAAATCACACAAATCTAATGAAAAAAAAAATTTTTATTTTTTAATTAATTTTATTGTTTTTCCGCCCTCCTCAAAAAAATTGCCTTATAAAAACTCGCGCAACAAGGAATAAAAAAAGTCTGGCCTAAATACAATATAAACATCGTGGGTATAAAGATGAACATAAAAGTGATATCGTACCAGAGGCGGCGGCACGAAATGCATGAGGGGGCGAGATCTGCGCGACCTTACTCGGGGTCCGGGGCATGCTCTCCCTTAAACATGTTGAAATATAGACCCTCTGAAACGTTCTTTCCTGCATTTTGAGTGGCAAATTTTGCTTACACAAAGAGT